TAATTTCATTTGGTCAAAGATGGTGTCAAGATTTACCCAGGGATGTAAATCTCACCAACCTTTCCACCAGAATAATGATATAGGCCTAGTGCAAGATAACAACAATCCTAAATTGAAAACAATAATAGACCCCAACTAATTTGTATGAGTCACAATAGATCCAAAAAACTTACCTTAACTTTGAAAATAAATTTGGCATAAAATAGTTTCAAACTGTAGTTTTTGGAATAAAAAGGATCAACAAAATTGCAGGAAAAGATACAGTACTTACACAACATATCATCCTCTCTTCGCTTCTCACGTCAGATTTGACATTACCGGTACATTACTTTGTTAGATAAAATATATTATTAAGTCTAAGAAAACTGCTATTAACAATATAAGAGGTTCTACCCGCAAATTCACGGGTGTACAGAAGCCACCATTAAATTAATTTAATCAACTTTGACTTTATATTTCATTTAAAGGGCCCAAGTTCGAGAAATTGTCATCTGAAAGGATGGTAAAAAAAGCATTGGAGCCTTCAAACCTTACGTCCTAAGGTGGGTAGGGTTGTACCTGAACTCGCCACTCTCTTTCACGTCTTTAATACTTTACTTAAATACTTGTCAATGAAATGGCGACCTGTTAAAAATCGGTTACAACCTCTTGGAACGAACGACATAAGTTTACATGGTTTGTTAATCTCATATTCATCGTGTTTCGAACACCTTTAACCACTCACTTGTATCAAACGGCTAGAGATAGCTTCACTGTCTATTCACCGCACCTCTTTTAAGAACATAAACCAACAAACTATATTGTAAATTGCATTGGCCAGCTGTTGTTCACTAAATTACTCAAATAACGTTAACTTCCAAAACATGCAAGGCGTAGCCCTTTGGAAATCAGTCTGTGGGGCAGACCTCTTAGGGAGTTTGTCCATATCAAAACTTTTCAGAAAATCTACACACTCTAAGCTTCATTTTGATATTCCATATGTCTATATTTTTATTTGGTAAATGGCCTTAACCGTTTACATAACATTTGTTTGCATCACTTTAATATGTTCCTACCCATATAACACATGTACATCAATTGAACATTAAATTGATGTTCAAGAATGTTCAACTGAACATCGTATGCACATTCATGTTTGTACAAATTACGACTATTTAACGTTAAATTATTGTACAAACGTCACAAACATCGATATACATATGATGTGCGTATCTCGATCAATTGATGATCAATTTTACATCAAATTGTTATTCAATTTAGGTTAAATTAAGATTCAATTGGACATCTAGTGAACATCATATGCACATTCATGTTTGTACAAATTGAGACTATATTTAATGTTCAATGAATGTACAAACGTCACAAACATTGATGTGTATATTTAGTCCAATTGATGATCAATTTGATATAAAACTGTAATTCGATTTATGTACAATTGGACATTACGATTATTTGACTAAAACAGTGAAAAGCCGCAATCTTTGGTGACACACAAAGTGTCTGGTTCAGTTATCTATATCAACTATAAATTTTACATTAAAAAATAAATCTATTTTTCAACTTTTGGTGGATAAAAACTCAAAGTTTAGACAAAACTATTTATTATATTCTATGCAAGTTAAAACCAAATTATGTAAAGAAATTACAAAAACTTTTAAAATCAATTAAAATGGAAATAAATGTTTCTTCGTCCACTCCAATCCTAATCATTGATGGTTGCGACAGCAGCACTTTTTGCCCTGAAACAAATATAATAGATTAACTTAATTATCGGTATGATTGTAGTCAATATTAATCATGCTGGGGTCTTGAATGATCAGGACTGCTTGTCAAAGAGTAGAGTTTAACATTATTCATTTTATTTAAATATTTGCATAGGCCTAAGGCATTATTTCAAAATATTCTAATAAGAACGTGTAATAAATTGACGTGACAACAAATCAGCTAAGTTATTAAAAACACACATTATCTTCGAATGTAAATGTTCCGGGCTCCTGCATGTGCTGACAGTTTAATCGGTTAGTATGAAAAACACAAAATGTGAACACTTCGACAGTTTGATTGCCGATACACATTGAAGTAGCCTACACAAAATTTAGTCTATAAGTAAGTTAGGCCTACTTTGTTCTTACTAATCAATCTTAGTCGTTCATATTTATAATTTGTCGATTGGATTTGATTCTACGACTAATGATAATAACACTTTTGAATAATTTAAAACAATGATATTATTGCATTGTGGTTGGGTTGGGTTAGATAAGGACTCAGGGTCTCGGCGCGTCAACCATAGCGTATTATGCATTACATTCTTACTTTTGTTTTACATTAAATAGGCCTAGGTCTACTCAATGAATGTACCATTATTGCTATATGATTACCGTAACTAATTGAAGGTGAAATAACTTAGGTAGGTACCGGTAATCAATAGATTGACTTGTTTGTAAACACCAATAGTAATATGAGGCGATGAATTTGAATATCAAAGTTTTAACTCAATTAGCCTACACTATGTATTGGCTAAATCTTAGAGGGTTATAGATAGTATTAACTTAGGCCTATTATTATTTGAAATTGGTTAAGTTCACTTTGGTTTTTTTTCAATTTGTTTGGCTATAACTTTTATAAGTAAATAAGGCCTATTGCTTTATAAAAAAAAACGCAGATTAGAGGATACGCGTCTGGTTACCGAATGTGGATTACTTAGGCACCCGGCATTGACGTCACCGGGTTGTGGGGGACCGGAACACCATTTCCACAACGATACGATATTTAGCCATTGGTGTTCGTGGTGTGTAGATAAAGTACATGGCTGATGTACATGAGGTATCTAGATCGAATCACATCGGTGATAGGCCCTAGAAGTTACTAACTTTTTGTCAAAGATTTTGCTTAGAATCCCATTTCTTCTTAACTGTACATCTTTGGTTAGAATTTTTGGCATTTATTTTTATTTTATGAACAGAATTTAACCTTCATTTGATTTGTTCATTATCAGCAAGTTTGGTTGGTTAGGTTAGGTTATGACTGTAGGCATAACTGCCGGACGCATAATCCACGTCCACGGTCCCGGTTGCGTATCCTCTGCGAAAAGGATAACTTAACATAATGTTATTCTTAAGCAAGTGAGCAAGTTATTCTTAGAACAAAACAGAAAACATTTTTTTAGTTTATTATGAATTTCTGTAATTTATAAGTTAACTGTAGGCCTAAGTTTATTCCCAGCATACAAATTAACGATAACAAAATTAAATTTAAGATGCTCATGATACTTAAAATCAATGACTTAGTTTCACATACCGGTAGGCTATTACCACCTATGTTTTATTAGTAATAAAGGGTACGGTACAGTTTCTTAACTGGGCTATGCTGATATCGATTGAAACTATCGATTCGATTAGTAAACCTTCATGCGATTTTTTCACCGTCAGCAAGTTTGGTTGGTTAGGTTAGGTTATGATAGTTTAATTTTACATTATAATAAGATAATTTTAAAATATCGATTATTAACCAATATTTCCAATTCGATAGTTTCAATCGATATTAGCATAGCCCAGTTAAGAAACTGTACCCGTAATAAATCTTGTAATAAGATCTGGGTACAGTTTCTTAACTGGGCTATGCTTATATCAATTGAAACTATCGAATTGGAAATATTGATTAATAACTTAATCGATATTTTTAAAATATATATATATTTTTAAATATATTTTAAATTTTTTAAAATATATCTATTATAAAATTAAACTATTATAACCTAACCTAACCAACCAAACTTGCTGATGGTGAAAAAATCGCATGAAAGTTTGCTAATCGAATTGATAGTTTCAATCGATATTAGCATAGCCCAGTTAAGAAACTGTACCCTAAGATCTAAAACCCTTAAAAATTATGTTGGATTATTTTATTCTCAGTTGGCCTGTGGTGATTCACAAAAGTATTTACCTTGCCTAGCCCCTAGCTGCATGTCATTAATGTACTTTTAAAACAACTATGACAATCGTGTGATGTGTAAATAAGTTTTAATGGAAAATAAGATTAGGTAGGTTTACTGGTCTAAAAGCTTAAAAACAGGTTGATAAAAGGGCCTAAACGTACTTGATTTGGCTGCACTTTACTTGACGTCCTACACTCATTCGAATGAAAATATCGATCGATATATCGATTAATCGATTGCGTCATTCGATATATCGTTTGGTTAGTTAGGTAAGTTTAACCTAACCTAACTAACCAAACGATATATCGAATAAAAGAATCGAATGAAAATATCGAATCGAAAAAACCAATCGAATGAGTGTAGGACGTCAAGTAAAGTGCAGCCCTTGATTTCTACCTCAACAAAATTAGCAAATAAGAGACCCTCTGTGTAATTTAATTAGACACTCAGGTGTGTGTTGTAAGTTACGGGGGAGGCCGAGATTTGTTTGAATGTCCTGTTTTTATTCTGAAACAACCTGGTCATCCTACTCTGGGCCTGACTTTTACAAACACAAATCAATGACTAGCCTATGCCTATATTAACTAAGCAAATCAGGTTAAGATTAGCTTTTTCTGGGTTTGGACTATCATGTGGTCCATAATACAAATTTAAAATAGCCATAACTTAAGCCTAATTATTAATTCCTCAAAAGTTAATTAGGAATAATTACTTACCTTTAACTTTAAACTGTATGTAGGCCTATAAATAAATAGTAAACTTAAACTTAGTAACTTAGTTGAAGTGAAGGAGGAGAGTGATGAGGAAAGCACATAAACATAAACAAACGGCAGCCGACAGCCATACAATAACGAAAGTCGAAACGATACGATAGTGATAAACTTAGTACGAGTACGATATTCCACCTTCAACAGATCGCTCAATCGATTACGTCAACAACTTTTTTTCTGACAGCTGACGTCATCGAATCCTCTTCTGTACCTCCCTTGAGTAAATCCCCTTTCTTCCTCTTCCTAACCTCCTAAATACCATCCTCCGACCTCCGACCTCCCCCCCTCCTGCCATAGCCAAACTAAACTGCCAACGGCACCGACCGACCGGTACGTTAAGTTTTCTGTTGTTTATTCTCTTTCCACTGAGTAGCTATTCACCAAATAACCATATTGGATTTTCTGAATTTGTTTGACCAAGACTCCATTTTCTCTACAATCCAAGGGGTTTGTTTTTGCCAGTAAGTATAAACTTATTTATACACATTTCTGACAAACTGAATCAGCTAACTTTTCTTAACCCAGAACACTCTTGGAGCCCCGGGATAGTGTTCTCATTCCTTTAACACCGCTTTAAATCGATGTTATGATAAATAAATAGGCTAAATAAATTTTTCTTAAAATCTGCACATTCAGACTAGCCTATTAATATTAATTTTTAATTAGGGCCGTCGAGTAGCCTAGGCCTTACTTTGGTGGTGCTTCTTTAAGAGTTAAAGATGACTTGGGGTACAGTTTCTTAACTGGGCTATGCTAATATTGATTTAAACTATCGATTCGATTAGTAAACCTTCATGCGATTTTTTCACCATTAGCAAGTTTGGTTAGTTAGGTTAGGTTATGATAGTTTAATTTTATAATAGATATAGGTTATTAAAAAATCCAGTGAGTGTGGAGGGGGGGGGGGGAGTGCAGGACACGGACACGGACGATTTTTATTGCTAGTGTGGCATGCTCTATCAGTCTCATTTGGTTAGGCAAAAAACCTATCTCGTAAGACGAGTGTGGCCACGGTCAAACTCTTCTTCGTGCGTTGTACATGAAAACGTATAAAAACAGTCTCGCTGGTTAAAAATTAGGTACACAAGTGTGGCCCCGGCCTTACTTGAGCACTTCATTTATTTTATTTAGGCTAAAGGCTAAGTGTTAAAGCCTAGCCTGGAAAAGAACTTTATATTAATAATACAGCTTTGAATGCAAGTTTAACATGTTTATTTTAAACAATTTAAGTTTAGTGCTTAGGAAGAGCGAAGTAATTACTGGTAACGTAACTTAGCCTAGGCTTGAGTGATTTCAAATGAAACAGTCAAAGCCGAAGGATTTGCTGTTGACAATGATGGTGACTGATCTAAATTCCACTCTAATAGTTCATCTCAGAGACCTATTAAAAAGCATCTTTGAATTAGGTCTAATAAACTTCGCACTAAACTTATATTTTTTACAAAAAAAAAACTTAAGTTAACTTAATAACTAAAGATATCCGTTTTCAGGTTTTTACAGTAAACAGGCCTAACTTTTAAGTAGCCTACATTTTAGAGGAAAACTAACTAACTTAATTTAGCTTACTAACTTTGGTGTTTTTATGATGATACTGTATAGACTTACTGTAGGCCTACTTTATTGACACCCTATTGTCAAATGAATATTTTCTTTTGTTAAAAAAGTGTCAATAATTCGATACCTACTGGTAGGCCTACTAGTATCGCAATGTCTCTAAACCCTTTTACAAGTAAGCATGCCCTCTTCATTACTTTATTTTTCCGATGGTTTATTTTGAGTCCTGCGCTTCAGCTACTTCCTTCAGCTCATTCAACTTAAACTGCATATCCGTGTATCTGTGAAAGCAAGCATCTATTATCTGCGTAGTCCAGATCTTCAAGACATCTATAATCCCTATTGACTTCCTCGTCTTCTACCACCAATTACCCTTCTCATAAAGTTCTGCAGTGCATCCAACGCCAAAAGAAAAAAAGATTGGGGACAAGATGCATCCCTGACGGACACCTGCTTTAACAAAGATGGGCTGCGTCAACTTTCCTTGATGAAGTACCTGGCATTGATACCCGTCATACAGATCTTTTATTAAATTAATGATGTTCGGTATTCCTTAATCTTCGAGTACACACACCATAAGACTCTATGGCCAACGGAGTCAAATGCTTTTTTGAAAATCATAAATGCCAAGTAAATAGCTGCCTGAAACTCTCCACCCTGCTCTAAAATTATCCGGAGTGTGGTAATTGCAAATAACCACACATAAATAATAAACAAAAATGGCCAGCAAGTAAATTTTTACACAAGAGGTGTTGGTTCCCTGTTAAAGGGAACATTCATTATTATCGATATATCAATATTTTAATATATTAATTAAGTCCACACAGCTGCGATGTGCTTTGAAACCTGCCTGTTCAGTCCAAAGTCTTCTCTCTAGGCCTACTGTAATTTTGATCCAATCTGAATTGATTTGTGAAACAATTTTGCTAGGGACAGATGTTATAAATAATAAACAAAAATGGCCAGCAAGTAAATTTTTACACAAGAGGTGTTGGTTCCCTGTTAAAGGGAACATTCATTATTATCGATATATCAATATTTTATTTTTCGGTCCGATATATCGATATTAACAAATTGAAATACATCAGATGACAACTATGATAGCCTAAATAAATTGTTCAGTATCAACAAACGATTAAAAGAATATATTATAGGCCTAGGCCTATTTAAAATGAAACTGTTCTAAACTAACCTAACTTTACTAATCAAATTTGCTTTAACATTTCAAAATTCCGTTTGGTTTTCCCCATAGCCTATGCCTTTTCTGTTATCAAACGGAATTTTGAAATGGTGCGGTACAGCAAGTTGGGCTAGCTTATGTTAGGTTAGTGTGGCACAGTTTTAATTTTTAATATAATATACATAGGCCTAAACAAGATTAGTTCTCAATTTGTAATTTAAATGCGTTTTTGAAGATAATAAAACAGAAGGAATAGGCTACAGATTTTAAAGAAAAAAATATCTAAAAGAAATCATCGATAATAATCAATGTTCCCTTTAACAGGAAAGTATCGAGGTGGTTTTTAAAGGATTTTGTATCTTCTTTGCTTTTCTGAAGTAGGTAAATAACTTAATTACTTATTTCCAATTACCGACTGAGTAAGCTTTTCAGGGTCTGGCTGAGGCATCGTCAAAAATCTTCTGCTTTACGTGTCCAAAAATAATAATTAACAACAACTTAACTTATCCCAGAGGTTCTATGACTTTTTAGCACTTGCGATTCAAGAAAACTAGGTACAGGCTAACTGATTTAACAGCTTGATTTCTTAATATTGTTGACCAAAAATAAGTTGGGCTAACATAGGATGAAATAAACTTAGGCTAGTTAAAGATGTAACCACATAACCACAAAATATAACGAAATATAACCACAAAATGGAACTGTCAATAAAAGTCCAAACAAGATGTTAAGGCTATTAGTAGCATTGACTTTATATAGATATAAAGTCAATGTTAGTAGGCTATACAATTCAGGCTAGTGTCGTCATTTTATTATCTATATTATTTATGTTCTATAGGTACCGTTTCTGTTCTAATACCTATCTGTGGAATAATGCTATTAGCTATTTCTTGAACTACTTCATTCAAAAGTTACCAGCTGATCTTATGCCTTTGTTTATGTGTCATATACTGCTTCCATAAGGATTGCATTGAAACTTTGAGGGCCCGTGGGGCGGATTCCTTAATAGATTTGTTTGACGCTAGCCTATATAGATGTTGGCACTCACTGATATGGTCTTTATCACCATGCAAAATTTGAAAACGATAGCTTCAGCCGTCTAGGAGTTTGCGTATTACGAAACGCATTTAAGAGTCGAGGTATAAGAGCTTCGCTCGCTCCGCTCAATAAGTTATAAAATAAAACTGTATATACATATACCGTATATATAACTAATATTTACAATAGGATTGTTAATTGGCCTATTAGTTTTATTTTTATCGTTAATATTTGTGACGCAGCCTATCCAGCCTATGCTGGTATCCAAGGAGGAGGAGATAAGGCAAAACAGAAATATGCCTAAAAACTAAAATTTCTAACTCATCTTAATGTACTTTTCAGAAGGTTTTACAATTGAACTATGCCTGTTAAAAAGACCACAATGAAAAGGAAACTCAAGACTTCTATTGACAATTCTGCAGCACCTCCAACAAAAATTGGAAAACGGGGAGGAACTCCGGGTAAGTTAGACAAGTTAAACATATATCCTCAGTTATACTATAGATAGGCCTACTTAATTCTTGGTTTATAGTTATGCTGGATAGACATAAGTTGAAATTACGCCTTCAATTACGCGTACATTAAGTTATCCATAAGGTAAGTTACAGTATCATGAAAATCACAAAAAAACCCATAAGCTCGGCCAACGGCCCTAGTACTGTAGGTAGCTTAAAGATTAATTCATAGGTGTAGGTTTACACACCTACACATAATAATTACAATTATTTTACTTAATGTAAACTTATCTTAACATACATTTCAAAAATCCAAAACAAATTTTTAACATACCTTTGTAGGCCTACCCAAAGTACAGATCCATTCGGAATCATCCCCAGCATCTTGGTGGACCATAGTTTCAAGGTTGAGGGTATTTATGTCAAAATCTGTGGCAAACATAGGCCTACCATTGGATCTTTTTCCGGTATCATATTCAATTCGTCTTCATTTGATTCAATTCCTAACATACACATTTCATCTTCATTGTTGTTATACCCTGCAGTATTTTCAGGTGAATTTTCTAAATTTAAACTATTAAAGAGATCCTCAGTAATGACGCTGTCTTCTTCGATGGATACTTGCGCAAAACAAAGTTTGTTTTGTTGTTAGGATTTTTGTTGAGAATGCAAGCTCAATTTTAATTTTGTTATAAACCAAATTGGTCATATCTGAATTGTAATTTAATTACCGAAATCGTCTGTGAAATCACAATCGTTAGTGTATCGCGTACTGTAATGACGGCAGTGTTTAAATTAAATTAGACCTATAATTTAATTAGCCTAATAATTAATATAGTTTTAAATAAAGTATTTACCTGTTTTATGTCTTATATTTTAATATATTTTGCATGCGTCAATACATCTGTTTTGTAATCCAGATTCTTTCGGGAACCGATGAAACTTTACTTCAGAGCTACTACTTTTCTTGTTCCAATAACCACGTAACAAAAACAGCGCAAAACGAATTTTAACTTACGTTATTGAGGTATCGTCGGTGACCTAGCGTTTCCTGAATAACATACAGCTTACCAGCATCAGCTGTGCCTCTCACACTACGTCGCATTTAGGTTGATTGGAGGGGTGGGGGATGCGCGTGCACACACCTTTTTAATAATAATAATAATTTTATACACCTTGTAATGTAGGTACGGTAGGCCTATGTTGGATTTTGTAAAAGGCTTAAAAACCTATAATAATAGGCCTAGATTCAATATCTTATCCCTCAGAGCTAGGCCCAAAATAAATTTAATTTCTGAAAAGTAGGATTTGTACTAGAGGTGGGAAAAATGCATTAACTCCATACACTTTAATTACCTTAGTCAACAACTCGGCCTACTTGACAGGAAAGTAAGTGCTTCTAAGATATTTTAGTGTTTTATGACGCTTTTAGGGTGGGAAATACAATCCTTTAAATAGTCTGCACTAACATTTCTTTTTTTTTGACAGTTCCTGAGGAGGTTTTTCACGCGCAGAGGAATCATCAGCGAGGGCCCGGCGTGGTGCTGACTCTGGGTCAAGGGGACGTGGGACAGCTGGGACTGGGACCTGATGTTATGGAGAAAGCTCGTCCCGCACTGGTGCCTGACGTGACTGATGTGGTGGATGTGTGTGCTGGTGGCATGCACACTATGTGTCTAACCAGTAGTGGCGAGGTAAAGTGCCTTCATATCCTAGGACATAGGCTTTAGCACCTGAATCGTTACATTATTTCAGGCTAGAGGGTTAGCTTTATCACAGATAAAATCTTTTTGTGATTGGTGTAGGCTAGTTTGAACCTCGAACCTCGGGGATTGAATTCCTGCACTCTACCACCACCTCACTCCCCAGCAACAGTTGATATCATTACGGTTTCTGTACTCTTGATAGTTCTAATTAATAACTTTATAGTCTGACCTACTCAGTTTGTGATCGATGAGTCATTGGATGCTTGGAATTGTGTTGTGACAGGGCTCTACTATCTGCTATCTAGTTTAGCAATGTCTTGTAACGTAACCTACGATTCAAGGGTCAGTGGAGATTTTTTTCTGATGATGGTCCCGCTCCATTAGGTGATGGATTTAGTGAGGTTGTATTGTGGTAGGCCTACAATAAGTCGTCCTGTCAGTTGGACTTGGTTTGAAAGTCTATATTCTACAGGAATCACAGTAATTTAAGTAGGCTAATAACAGTGCAATAGGCTATGTCAACTAATGCTAATTCTACTATGTTATAATTTATGGCAAACTTTTCTCACAGGACACACAAAATAATACACAAAATAATACAGGATACACTCAAAATAAGGTTAGAACCGTTACATGACTGACTGCGCTGGTATTTCAGGTTATCACGTTTGGTTGTAATGACGAGGGAGCCCTGGGTCGTCCTACGCCTGAGGAAGGCAGTGAGTCGAGGCCAGGCAAGGTTGAACTGGACGGAAAAGTAGTGCAGATATCCGCAGGAGATTCACACTCCGCTGCTCTGTTGGAAGATGGCAGAGTCTTTGCTTGGGGCGCCTTCAGGGTATTCATTTATATTTATATCACTAATTATTACCATAACCGGTAACCCTAACATGAATGAAAGATAGGTGTAGAATTTAGAAAGATGCCTCGTGTTGCTTTGTTACTACCTAAGATTATCTAGCCAACTCAAAGGAAAGCAGTTAGGTAGCTTTTATTGACAAAGTAGGTCCACCCTATAATTTAGGACTGATCCACTACTATAAGACTTGTGTGGATCAACCATCAATTCCAATTTATTACACCTACCCACCTCAGTGCAGTAACGATTGAAAAGAGTGCAATGCTTCTGAAACAGTTTGTCTACTGATCATGGAAAAGTCATTGATTTTAGTGATTTTACTAAGGGGTCACAGAAGTCACAGAAAAGTACTAGACTTTTATTTTATGGTCTCAAAAGTCTTAGAAAAACTCGGGCCTAACTAAAGTAAAGTTTCCCAGACCTGTCTTTTGTTTTCACCTTGTGTGCTGTGAGCAATGATTAAATTCATAATGAAAAATCAGTGAGAACATTTTTGGTGAGGCAACCAGCTCTTTAAGGCACAAAACATTGTATGCATGACCAGCTCATGTTCCAAGTCACTTAGCCTAAAACTTTTTTTAAATTGTAGGTTCATTATATTTGTGCGTTTTAACATCCTCTTTCCCCCTCCAACCCCTAAAATCACTGAAATTTTGTTTGATCAACTAGTAGACACCCTTTGCTAGATTTTCGTTCTTAGTCATAACTTTGTTGTTGGGTCGAATATGAAGAATCCACTTTAGTCAGACCATCCATCATACAGGATGAAATTAATATCCAACTTATAACTGAAGGAGAAGTCAACTTCTACTGAGTCACTGTTTGTATCGGCAGATTATATGATTCCAATATGCTAACTCCCAAGACAGACTTTGTCATGGTAAAGAGCTGGCCCTCCCCTAATATACAAGGGTAATTTTTAATTATTAAGGGGAATACAAGAAACATATCACTTGCTGACATTCATCGCCAGATGACTGAGGGCTATTAGCCCTAATGCAATGACTGAGGGTAAGGTGCAGAAATGGGTTATAAATGGGGGGAGTGTAAAAATGGCCGGATGCAATCCTTTTTCCTTTGTGGTCTTCTGTGAGAAGTCTGGGTACCCACCAAAAACACAATTCCTTTTAAAATGAACACTTTCACGGCCAGTTTAAAATCCCAAGCCCATTTCCGCACTTTACCCTCACTCACTCATTGCATAGTTTCCAATTTCATGATGGTTTAGCCTGTGGTTCAAGATGTAGCAAGATATAAAGGTTTAGATTATCTGTTGCGTCAATTGATCCTTGTTGTTATGAATAACTACAGCTTTTTTGTGCTGCTAAGAGCACATCTTCAGGTTAAGAACGTTAAACACTATTCTGAATGATGTACGAGGTCGTCAATTCTTTTATTAATCTTCTGGGACCCAAAAACACAAACACATACGAAAATGACATTTATAGAAAAAACTTGGCCAAGTAGGCCGAACACGAGGTGCATTGTTGATGATTAGTCATGACTGACCTGTGTAGGAAGCTACGACCCCCTCTCCTTCTCTCTCCTTGGCTCGGGGATTGTTTTGCTTTGGAACTGACAACCTCATATCAATGAGAATAGTGTTTAACGTTCTTAACCTGAAGATGTGCCCTTAGCAGCACAAACAGCTGTAGTTATTTAAACAAAGATCAACTGACGCAACAGGTACAGTAATCTAAACCTTTTTAATCATTGCATGGGGCCATAGCCTTCAGTCATCAGGCAATGAATATCAAGATAGGTTTCTTGGAATAAACAAATGTAACACTGTATTCTTATTTGTAGGCAGTTTTGAAATTGTTAGTATGATTAACCACAGGTATTTCCTACATTGTAAGTGTAAACAAAGCCTAGACTCATGTCGATGGGAATGTTGGGGGATTTAGACTAATAAATTACCGTTGCATTCATTTTACCTGGTATTTGACTTGAAAAAACTTTGACTATTTTAACACTGGTAGTACTGTTAGGCTTGACAGGAAGATTGTTATAAAAAAAAGCTAGGTCTAAGTGAACAAGTCTCACATCAAGTTTATCATCTGTTCTGTGTAGAAATTATTGATACCTGTTATTTTTTCAGGACTCTCATGGAACTATGGGACTTACGCCCAAAGGCATCATGCCTAACCCGATGCTGGTACCAGTTGATGATAAGGTTGGTTTTTATTACTGTACACTGTGTTAAATTGTTTTTGTGTTCATTTTGAAAAGCATAGCTCCATGTTTGGTCTTTTCTTAAAGGATTCCAACCTATTTAATATGCAAATGTAGGCATAATTAATTTCTGAATAGGCTACCGATTATTCTCACCATTTTAATAATAACCAATTATTATACATCTAACTTGATTTTTCATTTAATTTTAGGTTTAATACTTGTTATAGGTATGTCATAAGATGCCTTTTTTAACAAGTTGATGGCACTGCTTCATTTTGTAACAGGAAGTACTAGGGATTTTAGTGCTCGTTAAGTGGTTTTAGGGATGCACTATTTGCCTTTAGCTGATTTCACGCAACTAAAAAAGCTAAAAATTAGGTAGGCTTATGTTTTTAAAAATAAAGTCATGTAGATTAAACAATGTACAAAAACATTGACAATGTAATGTACAAAATTTAAATAGACTGAAAATTGTTACACGGCTAAATTTCCATTAGGTACTAATTTAATTCACTTGATATAATTATTGTTCTTGGCTTTATAATGTTATATTATTCATAAATATAGATATACAAATAAAAAAAATCTAAGAAGTAATTTGCATTGGTCAGTAGGCCTGTAAGGGCTCGGAGCCAGCTGGTTTAGTGGTTAGAGCTTGGGATTTCAGTCCCTAAAGTCCCGGGTTCAAATCGCGCCAAGTCACCAATGGATTTTATCTTAGTGATAATGCCGCAACCCCTAGGTCTAGCCTGAAGTAATGTGAAAAACAATTCCGGGCTCGTGCCTAGCGTCTTAGGAAAAAAAAGTAGGCCTGTAAGGATTGTATTTCTGCCAGATTATTTTACCTCGGATCAAGTCAAAAGTTTTGGTCTGGGTGTGAGGCAAAAACCAGGTTGCATTAAAAAAGTAAAAAAGTAAGTATAAAAAAAACGGTATTATACTATATTGTGCATCATCTCCCACAATCACGTTAAAATCATTCCCGATCATGGCTGCTCAAAAACCTCTTAACATAAATTACCCGAACAGAGATTGGCCCAAAATTTGTTTATGGCTCAAACCGTGTTTTCAGGCCATCTGTTGACACAACCCGAAAATATTGGAGCCCCTCAGACCCCAGATTGATAGACCTGCTGGGCTTCTTTGTTTAGTTTTTTTTTTCAATTGCCTCATGAAAAAGTAGAACATTTATTTTACCATGCAACAGTACATTGTTAGTTGTCTATATCAGTAGTTATCATTGCAGGTAATCTTATCGAGGAGAAAACGGGATATAGTAAGTAACAAAAGCTGTGTAAATCCATTTATGTTTTAGGGGTGTGTGAATAAAGTTTTTATACTCAACTAAACCAAGTTCTCAAGTTTTAAACTTAACGAGTTATGAAGGATTACAAGACGTGAAGAATACAAGTTGAATGAATTAACGTAAACATATTGATTAGCCTACATAAACACCTACAGGAAAAAAATGTTTAGGTTAGATATTTATCTGAGAAACATAGTAGGCCTATGCCATATCATGGCAGTGCCTAAAATTAAATATTAACATTAGGCCTACATAATTATTTTACGGAGGTTTTTAGGTTGTGTTGTAAAAAATAGTCTAAAAACCAAGAATAAAAGCTCAGATAATTTTGAGAATATGATACTGTTTCAGAGTTTTCTCATTATGTTAACTGGATCATATGTTAGGAATAACATTTAAATTTTATTCCTTCATGAGAAAAAGGCTTAGGCCTATAGTTCGGCCGCTTAGAAAACGACCTGCGCGCTAATGCTAAACCAATGCTGCAGGAGGTCGTTTTCTAAGCGGCTGACCTATAGTGTAGTTTTTATTTATGCAAATAAAGGTTTTTAAATAATCTCATAAAACATCAACACTTTTTTGAAAAAAAAAATCCAAAGTATGAATGTTTGCACACTCCTAAATGTTTTCCTTTCCTCTTCCCACATTAATGTTGCTCTACGTGTGTGAATAACAGAAACATAAAACATAACGTTCTTTTGTTGTTTCTAACCCTCATCTAATCTGTGTTTCCTTTAGATGCCACGGAATAAATGCACAGATACTTTTTAAATTACAGTACAACCCTGCTAATTAGTATTCTACGGGCCATGGTCGGAACAGTGAATTATCTGAGGAGCATATTAAATGACAATACTTCGTACAATTCTTTACTTTAAAATAATATGGCGATTGGTGATTTATACATGTAAATTTGAACTGATAATTGTTAGGATATTTTGTGACGATATCTGGCTTACATGAATGGAGATGAAGAGTCGAAACTGGCACAAAAGACACAAAACATTAGAATATTTCAATGTCACTGAAACTCTCTTTTATAGTTGAAAATGTTGTCAGTTACAATAAAATATTCTTTTTTGTGTATATAGTGTTAAGTTTTCTGTCTCTTGTGCCAGTTTAGACTTTTCCATTTAGGTAAGCCTGATATCCAAAAAAAATCCACAAAACCTAGACCCTTGTGATCTATGTTACATCCTTGAACTGGTGATTTGATTGTTAATGTGAAATTGAATAGGTACTAGGGTGAAGTGGGGTAAGAGTAACCAGGGGGCTAGTGTAACCACGGCTTATCACTCAACTGATAAGATAATTTTGGACCTAAATACTATCATATCTTGTTATTTGGACCTTCCTTTGTTATATTTAGCCTTAAGAATGCATATAAAATATGTGCAAGTAATAGTTTTAGAATGTTTAAAAAAGGCTTACATTTCCACTCCATCGGCAAGTGCCGACCTCAAACTTTGACAATTTTTTATACTCACATTTTTAATGTAAATTTGACAGTTTTTGGTTTACAAACTAATTTTTGCACGTAGAATCTGAATATAACTTCAGATCTGAGCTATTTCCTATTGTTTAGATTTTACAAGCGTGGTTACACTTACCCCTAAAATTTTGCAGTCGGGGCAAGTGGCTCTTTGGATTCGGGGCAAGTGTAACCAGGGTGTAACTCATATAATATCCAGTAAAGAAAAAAACTTTGTTGTAAATATAAAATTAGGAATTTAGAAGATAAGGTAAAATTTTACACATATTGTTACTAAGTTAAGTTGGTTTGAGAAGAAAAACATAGTTGTTTGTGAGTGAACTGCTTAAGTGATTATATAACTTTTACGTTAAACTTACCCCGTTTTATAATTTAGGATTTTCTTGCCCAAATGTAAATAAAAAAAACAATATTACTGTGAGATTTATTCTACACATGTTAAACAACATTAAAAACCATGTAAGTACCATTTAATGTTGTGTTTTTTATGTTTTAACAGTAATCTTTCCATTTTGCATGTTTTGCGTTTTTCACAAAACGCGAGAAGAGGTTCACGAAAAAGTTCGTAACTTGAGTAAAAATTAAGATATTTTAATAAGTCAAAAAGTCTTGGAATCAGCAAAAGATTTGGAATCTGGCCACTTGCCCCATGTCTCTTTTTCAATGCTTTATATATTTTTAACAGGCAGGGGTTACACTTGCCCCGAACCCTGGGGCAAGTGTAACCACAAAACGCAAAATTTTTAGTCATTTTTTTTACCAAAAAAGATTTTATTTTTTTATAATAATAGATATTGTTTTAAAGCCCATTAGTCAAAGTTTATGCATAAAATTTTTTAGAACTATATCATGTATAACAAGATGGCAATTTGAGGTCAAAGCTGAACTATGCCAAAACGTGGTTACACTTACCCCACTTCACCCTAACTACTAATGAACAGTAACAAAGTCAATCTAAGTTGAATCTTTATTTTACAACATAAGTGTGTAGCCTTACAGTTAAAACAATAACATTGTAGCTACAGAATAACATTGTAGGTAAAAGCTAAAAATAGTGGACAATTTCTAGAGTCTTGTGTGGTTCCTAGAACCATTTTCTACATTACTGCTACACCAAGAGGGTCATGGTATTATCTTACCGAAGCTTAACACTCGGCGCTCTACCACTAGACTTCATTTGTTTATGGCTTCACTGTGTATATCGACAATGAAATCATACCTTGCTTCGACAGTTAGTTGAATGATTGTATTTACAGGTAGTGAGGATAGAGTCAGGCACGGATCACTTGATGCTGTTGACTAGACATGGTCAGTTGTACACATGCGGCTGTGGCGAGCAAGGACAGCTGGGGAGGATAGCAGAGAGAGCGGCCAGTAGGGAGAGTAGGCAGGGACTGAGTGAGTATTATTAGTCAATGGATTCCTCTCGCCCTTGTTTGTTTATCGAAGTACTCATTCAATCACACACATAATTTTGACGCTTAAAATTGTTGACAGAGTTGCCTTAAGTCTTTGGAACCTAGACGTTAAAATGAAATGAAGATCCTTTCTTCAGGCGAACTTAGGACCTCATGGTCCTTTCTTTCAGTTAACCTCTAAATAACTAATGATAAAAACAAAATAATAACAAAAAATACAATACAGTTTGTAACATAACTAGTGATAAAATAGCATAAGTTTATTCATTTACCCTAACATACAGTCACACACACATACACCCTCTGCTGCATCTAGGCCTGACACACGCCATTCCGCCAAGCCACGGCGATCCGGTCAAGGTAATATTCCTTCAGCGCCACCATCAGTCGGGATTGGTTTTCTATGGATTTCATGGTAAAAGGTATGGAGTTCCGTAGGCGGCATGCTGTTACTAAAAATGATTTTTTATAAACAGTTGTTCTGTAATGAGGAATGCGAAGCGTGGACGAGCCAGAGCGGGTATCCCTTGCGCCTCTTTCATTCAAAAAGTTAAAATTCATTGCAAGATCATTTGGAATTCCAAGATTGATCTGAATGAGAAATGGAAAGTATTTGTATTTTCTGATGTCCTCTAATTTCAAAATTGATTCATTAATGTGATAGGGTGTGACTTGGTCATCATGCCTAAGATTGAACAAGAATCGAACAAAATAATTTTGTACACATTGTAATTTTGTTGCCAAAGCCACAGTTATATCATTAACCACAGTGTTGCATTAGTTGAAGTGTGGAAACACGAGTGATTTGACCAGTAAGAGTTTAATGTGAAAAAATAGAAGTCGTTGCATCTTCAGTGTGTGAACAGCAGGATACACTCTTTTACAAGTGCTTACCACCGCGTCAGTCCAGTCCAATGTGCGGTTTAAAGTAAAACCAAGACTTTTTACTTTGTCCTGGTATTGCAAAGTGGTTCCGTTTGTAAACAGTGATTTTTGGTAAAATGTCTTAGACTACTTTGATGAGTAACCGTGAGGTACCTTTACTGTACCAAGTATACTTACTTTTTTGGTAGAAATAAATTCTTGAAACCTTTAAACGTTCGTAAGGTAACTGAACTTATCTGTCCATAACAACTCCTAACATTGGTTTAACATTTCATTTTTCAGGTAAAATGTTAATTCCTGCTAAAGTTCAGATAAAACATTTGGAGTTTGACAACGTTTGGGCTGGAGCTTACTGCACGTTCATGAAAGAAAAGAGGAGTGATCATGTTTTCTCTTTTGGTCTGAATAACTATGGACAAATCTGTAAGTATTGGCATTTAATATTTATATAGTCTCTTAAGGTATTCGCTTACCAAATACCCAGCTTATCGCAGATGGTTTTAGGAGGGTAGATGGCACTGTCGTCAGCACAACACGCTTTCGACCAGCAATGTTGTGGGTTCAGATTCTGTTACCTGCCACTACTTTTTATCAGTACAATTTACTCTTTGCTATTGTCACTCTTTGCTTTGCTGGATACATTCCACACACAGGCCTCTGTGGTATACGTGGAGAAACTGTAACGTTTCCAATGAATTCAAACCTACTTAATTTTAAACCAGCAATCACATCATAGTTTTTTTGTACTTATGACAGAAGTGTGTTATTTCGGTTAACATTGATGAACTTGTAGTTTTGTTGGTTTCAACTTCACTAGCTGTTGCCAATTTAAATACTTTAAGGAGGTTATAAAAGTCAACTAAAAAATGATAAATTTACCAATATTTATCATTTTCAGAAATGTATGCATCTTTTGAAATTTAATAGAGCTCTCTACCTTAATTCCAGCCATGTACTTTCAATTTACTTTGACTCTCTCTATGTTCAATTATCTTTGTAGGCTACATATATAATTTAATGCACATATTTAGGGGTTCGATAATGCTTGTTCATTGCAAGGTTTTGTTTCCAGGTTTAAAAAATGTAAATGAAAAGGCCACTCATTTCCACCCTGTGCAATCGCAAGGCTTCTCAGACAAGAAATGGGCAAAGATTTGTGGTGGACAGCACCACACTTTAGCCCTGGATTCAGATGGTGAGTCTGTAATTTGTTTTACTAAAAAAAAGACAATAATTATTCTTTGTGTGTAATGTTGTATAAACGATTGTCGATTACGTGCCGGATGCAACCGTGTCAGATGAGACCCAGCAAAAATTGTGCCAGAAGTGACCCTGCTAGTATGGTGAGTGACGCTAGCGGCCCTTTGTTTGATAGAGGATTTTACAATCTTTTGTTCAAACCAATATTAATATACTAAGGGGCGGTTCACGAGTTCGGGACTTCATAGTCCGCGACCAGACTACATAAGCGCCGACCAAAAAACGGGTTCATGAGTCAGAGCCTAATGATGTGAAAGCCGGGCTTATTGCTTATTGCTGGTCAAGACCAAATCCGAAGCAGAGCCTAATGACAGGGATTCGCAACAGTATTAACAACAGCCTGGAAACACATGTGAAGCCACTGCTACTGACATAGACACTTCCATACAATAGGATGATGGTGAAACAAGGCTGAAACAAAACATTAAACATTCAAAACGCTTATTTTTAACGTATTTTATTGTCTCAATGCTCGCCTATAATAATTTATCAAAGTTTATTGATTTATAAACATAACAAGCCACGTTTGTATGCAATCAGATAATGGATGTCTTTAGTGAAATATATTTTCCTGTGTGCATTATTGTAATTCAATTAAGATGCATGACATAAAATAACCGGGTATTTATAACCGTATGCATGCCTATTTTGAATAAATGCGCGATAATTTAGGATGATGATTTTGGATAGGCTAATTTTAACTAAACTTATTTAAATGGTACAGTTATTGAAACTAAAATGTATTTAGAGGTACTGACTATTTCGATATAAAAATCGTATGTGTGTGCTGGTCTCTTGGTTGTAATCTAAGAATATTCCTTCCTTTATTCTTACACTCTTTAATAATCTAGCTGTAAAATGTTGAAATAATATTCCGTGGTTCGCTCGTAATATTATTTATGTAAACAGCTATGGTTTTTTATTTAAATTTTGTGTTGTTGCGATTTTTAAAATTAGTTTCATTGGTATTACAATTCATTTATATTTTGGAAAACATTGTTTTTTTTCTTTGGGCATAGTTTCGAACTGAAAATTTGATTTGTTCTGCTTTCATTACCAAACAAATAGCTACATCCAAGCTTTACCAACATCCAATAAATCACCAATTTCTCGATCAAAAGTGCCATTAGCCAAAAATATTAGTGCAACTAAAATTTTTTTTCAATTTAGAATACTGTAATGGATTTTGTTGTTGGGAAATCCGTGCCTTGGAGTGAACGCCTCAAATGACTCATTTACAGCAACTTTGGAACATCTAAATCTATCTTTAAATTCATCAAGTCATAAAAGGGTTATAGTGTTATAGTCATGATAATGAGCTGGTCCTATGCGAGGTAGTGAAGTGGTGGTACGTAGTTGTTGACATAATACAGTATAGATATTTCATAGTCATATTCAATACACACGGCCACCAGTGAGTACAACACAAGACGGTGATAGCACCGCGAACCGTACTCAACAACTGACGGTTTGCTTGATGTTTTCCACGGCAAAAAACTATTTCTGATAATTATGTTAGATAACGGTGGTTTAACTGTGGCTGATTCTACGCATAATTTGATCGTTAAAATTGTAATAACATGGGGTTTATTAGTAAAAATATCTTTGTTATGATACTACTTTGTTACAAGCATAATTTATCTGTCGTTTTAAGTTGTTTGATGATTTTTTAATCTTTTATGAGCCTTTTTACCATTTTTACATATTTTTTTAATATGGTGTTGTGGGTAGTGAAATTGTTTGGAATTTAATGAGGAACAATATTAAAACTGTAATTAATTAAATTTACTGTTTTTAAGAAATAATAAAAATAAAGGAGCTAATTAGATAAAACCGGCATGATGTCACCTTAAACCTGCCTCCTACCAGCAACGAGTTGGAGACCAAACACCATTGTTCTTTTGGGCCCGAACCATCTCATTTGGGCTCAGACTTGACTCGTGAACCCACCGGGACTAATGATCAGAAGCCGGGACTATCTGTAATTGGACTCGTGAACCCAACTTTTAAAACTGGGTTTTATCCCTGCACTAATTGTGTGCAGCCTATCAGTTTGGTCAGCGGCTTATAAAGTCTCGAGCTCGTGAATCCGAGTTTTTAAGTTGCGGCCCAAATACTGGTTATTTCTGGATTCTGGGCTCGGACTACGATGGTCCCGAGCTCGTGAACCGCCCCTAATAGCTCATAAACAAACTCTATACCTACAAGTGTCTGTAATATGTACCACCCGCCAGAGCCCCATATTAGCTTAAAGAGCTATCCATTAGAATCTCTAGTTCCTCTAGTTAATACAAGAAGGTTGCAAGATTTTAAGCACTAATATTAAATTTTTTTTTATCATTTAAAATTAATAATTTTTTGCTAGACCGAAAAATTGTCTGTAGGCCCTACTTGAAACCCAAAATCTCAACCTGATTAAAAATTGCATCTCTCCTAGACCTCTGTTGAATAGGCTGATCTACTAACTATATTTAGAGAGCACGGAATGTGATGATTTAGCTACAATGGCAAAAGATAATTTTGCCATCTTGTGATCTCCATGATCGTAAAAAATATACTAAATTTCACTGTGATACAGTTGAAGTCAACCATAGCGATTCAAAGTGCAGAATGATTTATATGTAATATTTTTGTTCTAAACCCACCTTTAAAATAAACTTATTGTTTGTATTGCTATACAGTTTTTCTCACTCAGAAAATTGAGTCCAAATTCCAGCTCAGATCTCTGTTCTACAGAATGTGGTTCTAATATTATTGGTTTGTCTCAACCTCAACACATAACATCAAGGCCTATTGTTGTGTAGGTGTAGTGTATGCTTCTGGAAGAAAGGACTACGGGAGGCTGGGGCTTGGAAGTGACTGTCCGGAAGTGGTGGACAAACCCACTGTCGTTCCGGGACTGCAGGGAAAGAAGTGCATCGACATCGCTTGTGGAACTTGTGTATCATTTGCTGTCACAGAAGATGGTGAGTATAGGCCTATTTACAAAAGATGTCTTTAAATGTTAGTTGTGTTTTTTAATCGGATAATATCTATAAGATATATTTATTTGTACAGAATTGAACGTGTTTACATAGTTTACCAAACCTACCTTTTAGGTTACCAAGGTAGGCTCGGTTCTGTGAGAGTCAGTTGTAATATTTTATATGTTATACAACAATATATAGTTTTATATGAAAAAAAAACTCCTTTTTAAAATATATTTTTATGACTGCACGATCCCTGTTCCTAGAACCAAGTCACTGCTAGATAAAAAATAATGTCATTGTGCTGAAGAATATTAAGCTTTTAAAGAGAGAAAACTAAAAAATACACAGGTCCAATAAGACATGTTCGATCATGTTTTACTTTAAACGGATGAGCTAGGTAAATAAGCAGCCTTATTTATTGCTAAGAGACCCAAAATCTATACAGTAGGAGTGTACAAATACAGTGAACATCGAAAATAAAACTTTCATTGGGAACAATAAAACATACTAGTTATCAAGGTTGATCTCTAGTCAAGGTTTGCAGTAACATGTGAGTAGGGGTAAAATAAATTCTAAAGGATTTGAAAATTACACTTGTTGTTATCAAGGGTGACTTGTTTTGAGGGTGTATTTATCATGCTTCCACTGAAAATATTTTTGGGTGGAAATAAAATATACGTACCGGTCCCTCACAGAACTTTTTACTTCCCATCGAATCACAGTTTTAAAGTTTGGTCTAATCACAGACTTAAAATTTACTTTAAGTTAACCATCCTGAATTAGATTTTATTGACATTAATTTTCAGGATCTGTATGCCTGTACCTTTGAATATGAAACATTTTTTTACTATGACAATGTAAATAAGCAATTCAGATTTACAGTAGCCTCATCCTGTCTTGTGTTGTTGTCTAGGAGAGGTGTATGCCTGGGGGATGGGCACCAATGGACAACTAGGTACTGGAGATGAGGATGATCATTACGAACCAGTGCGGGTAAGCTGTCTTCCATTCTAGACTCAAGAAATTAATTGAAAACCAAACAAACTAAAAAAGTACTTGTCTAATCCTCTGATTTTTATACAGGATAATGTGAAAGGCTTAAAACCCTAATCCCAAAAACCTGGATCGACCCACGGATTTAATAGTTAAACATAAAAAAAGGAATGAGCCGTTCATTTTCATTTTTGGTACTTTGACTACGATTCCAGAATCTCCTGCAATAACCCAATATTTGGCCTTCAGGTCTCGGGCTAGAATTTGGTTGCTTTTGAGTATTAATTAAATATGAATTGTAATAACTTACTACAATTGGTTTATACTGTACATAATATTGTAATGCAATGTGATCTCCCCAGTATGGCACGGAAAACATCTTTTATGGTCAAGGCAAGATCTAGAACATCATCTGCAGTCATAATCGTGAACTTCTTCCGCGGCCAAAGAAAACTCATAGGTTTTCTGCAATCCCAACAAAATCCTCAATTTTTGAACCCGCATCTTTACAGATGTCTTCTACCATTGCCAAAATAACTGATCCCAGTAGACCGACTGACGCAAAAATATCATAGATCTGCAGACCTCTAGTGATCACCAATGTCCTTCAAGTGTTTGATTTCAACCAACAGGTCAACCAAATGTTCCAAAGTGTCATTACTTATCATGGAATTTAGGAACTAAATCTGAAATAGACATCTCAAATGCTCCATCTGTGGCTTGAATTACGTGGGATTCAAAATGGTTGAAGTGACAGTTAGGAGACGTAGGAATTGGCTAACTCAGGAACTCGCTAACTCGGTCGTGTGTCGGAACTGGCTAACTCTGGAACTGGCTAACCGTCTCAGTCAGGAATTGGCTAACTCCGGAACCCGCTAACTCGATTTTGTCTCGCGGCGGAATTCGCTAACTCTGGAAGTCGCTAACCCGGCCGCGCCCACTGCACGGAGCGTTGCCAACCTTGTCCGACAAAATAATCGTACACTGCCGTATTTCAAAATGCCAGTGTCAATGAAGATACAGTAAATGTTATTGTTTTTTGTTATCAATTCCACTTTTAACAGATAACTAGCCCAAAGTAATTCAAAGACAATTGAAAAATCATGAAAAAGTGTTTATTTATTTAACTGTACAATGGCCAGTTAAATGTTTATGATTTTGATCTTAAAAATTAATGCCATCAGTACAAAAGAAAATAATATAATATGAAAAATATTAAAAATTCAGTTTAATTGGTACTAAATAATTAGACCCCTACGAAATTAAGCTAAAATACACGCAAGTTCTCAAACACGGAAAACAGATTTAATCGTAATGTCGTAATAAACCAAAACCATTAATTAATACAGTCATCAACTATCGTAACTTTCATAACTAATTCATAGATTTAAAATCAAATGTTCGTCGTTGAACCGTCCAACTTACGTGTACAAATATGATGACATAGACTAAGTTTTTATCTAGGCCTAATAGTTTGAACCAAAGCATTGTAGGCCTACTAGTAAATAGTTGCCTAATTCTAAAATGTGTTGAATTTTTTAGCAATAATGTTACATGTTTTAAAACCGTTTTTAGATTGTACACCTAAGCACCACTAGTAAAAAATAGAAGATATAATATTCATATAATAAAACGTGACAGCGTTATTTTAATTCACGATTTTTAATAAAGGAATTGACTGATTTTCCTGATTTGAGTGTTGGGTTTTTTTTATATTGCTTTCACAAACTATATAAACGATACCAAGCCATTGCTCGGTTCTCGGTTCACCGTTCACCGGTACTGAGCTACACAATAGACAATAGGCTAGCTTTGTTTTTGGATAAGATCAAGTAATTTTAGCTATGGCCACCATTCATAAGAATTGTTACATACAAGAACCCCTGGGTCCATTTAGAACCAGCCTGGAGAAAACTCTAGACTTTTAAAAAATAGGCCTACTGAAAGAAGTAAAATTAATATTAATTCAACAAAATTAAGAGGATAACCTGGGTTCTACACGATAATAGCCTATGATAAAAGAAATTTTCAAGTTGTATTTATGCATAGACTCATTTTTAATGCAATCCATGAATACATTTTAAGCCTACCACTTTATAATGTATTGATAAATATTTATTTAAATTCAATAGCTCTATTTAAAAATAAATTACCACTACAGTGTAATTCTGTAATGACGTTTAACGTGTAAATTTTATTATGATTTATGATTCAAGCTTACAAGCCCAGTATATAAAATGCGAACTCAATAATTTTATTTGCAGAAACTCACAAAATGGTATTTTTTTGAATAAAAGAAACAAATGGCGGACTACGAAAATAGATATTTCATAACATGTAATAGATCCAAATTAAATGTGCATTTTTATCTTTTTGCATACCAAAAAGCTACTATTTAAGTAAGAAACCCACATATAACAAATACTCCCTTATATTAGTACACTAGCAGAGTACCCGTCCTTCGTACGGGGTTGGTATATAAGTGTAAAATGTTTATTGCAGTCATACTCAAGCTTTGTGTTTGCAATGGGGGACGACACAGTTTGATAAAATTTGGTTCTTAAAGTTTACGCTATGCTATAGTATAACACATTTACCATAGCCATAATGCTCTACTACTGCACCTAAACAATATAAAACAAATTATCAAACCTTTGCACAATATCACAAATGATTCATTAAATGGTCATATAGGCCTAAAAATAACTGTAAACAATCCTAATTTGATAGTTCTCATTGCGTATCACAGCTTTTGTTGCTGCTTAGTTCAATTAGCTATTGTCAAAAATTCAAACAAAAAATGGCCTAATCGTGTTGTACCCTGTTGGTAAACCTTATAACGTTTTAATGCTATTGCATATCATAGAACCAACTTGTTTAGTTGAAACAGCTGACTAAATTCTTTAATTCCTTTTAAATGTGAATACTCATAAGGTTAACATAGGGATCCATAGAGCCACTGGGGCGGAGCCCGGAAGGATTTTTGAGATAAGAATAGGCTTATATGTTAATCGGGAATGTGAGCTATCATTATGCCAAATTTCAGCCCAATCCGTCCAGTAGTTAAAGCGTGATTGAACTTCAAACAAACAAACAAATAAACAAACACACAAACACACAAACTTTCTCATTTATAAATAATTTATAAATAAAAAACTTTTTTAAACAAAACGTTTTTAAACGCCCTAAAAAGAAGAAAATTATTTGTAAATTATTTTCTACTTTTTAGGGCGTTTAAAAAAGTTTTGTTTAAAAAAGTTTTTTATTTATAAATTATTTTCTATTTTTTTAGTTTTTTAATGCGTGAGGATGTTAAATCTATTTCAAGCATCTATCAGATTAAGACAAAGGCAAGTGGGAAATCTAAGGTTTATTTGAGTTTCTTTTCATATAATTATGTATTAGATCGAATGTATGGCCTACCTACTAACTATAAATATATCAATCTATTTAATTTATTGTTTACTTTATAGAACATTAAATAAATAACAATTTACATTATTAACAAACATCTTTATATCTGCAATCAGATTGTTTATCTATATTTTGAAATGTTTGTATAAAGAATCTCTTGGGAGCATAACCTGTACCTCTTAACCTCTGCTCTTCGAACTGTCAAATTTAATCATTTACAGCTGACTTAAATTAATTGATATATTTACATTCTTTCAAAATGTAAACAAGGAAAATTTGGAAGCCCATGGGGCGTAGCCCGAAAGGAAATATGAAAATTAAATGATATAATATTGCAATGTCATCCATTTGTGAGCTATGTTTCAAATTTCAAGTCTCTAGCTCATCGGGAAGTATCAAAATTTGCAAGAAATCGATTTAATAAAAACAAGCCCATGGGGCTTAGCCCAAGGGAAATATGAAAATTAAATTGTATTATATTGCATTGTCTTCCATTTGTGAGATATGTTTCAAGTTTCAAGTCCCTAGCTCATCGGGAAGTTAGTATAAAATCGGTTGCAAAATTTGTAGCGGAGAAGAAAGCGACCTAATAAAAACGTTTTAATAATAATAATATTAGTATGATTTCTCATCCTTATGGATCAGCTGAAGACAGTTTTATTGTTAGTTCTGTCCGGTGCACGGTTTTTAGAGGTCGTGTTTTGTTTACAATTGTTTCTTGTTTTCAGTCATTAAAAAACTTCGTTTAACCAAATAAAACTTTCTAATCACAACTAATAACACGTCCCCTAGTTATATAGGTAACCAAACAGTAAAGAACAAATCATTAAGTTAACAATTTAGGTTGGTTACAATAATAGAAACACAATTTTGTCGACACTAGCAATCAGTGTATTCTTCATTAATCTACACAAATTTTTGACAACAGAAATAAATTTATTTATTTATTTAAATAGTTCTAATCCTGACATAAAGAACCAGCCAAACTTTTCAAAACTGATATAATTTTTAACCTGAACCTCAAGATTCCTGACATAAAGAACCAGCCAAACTTTTCAAAACTGATACAATTTTTAACCCGAACCTCAAGATTCCTGACATAAAGAACCAGCCAAACTTTTCAAAACTGATATAATTTTTAACCTGAACCTCAAGATTTCTGACATAAAGAACCAGCCAAACTTTTCAAAACTGATATAATTTTTAACCTGAACCTCAAGATCCCTGACATAAAGAACCAGCCAAACTTTTCAAAACTGATACAATTTTTAACCTGAACCTCAAGATTCCTGACATAAAGAACCAGCCAAACTTTTCAAAACTGATATAATTTTACACCTGAACTTCAAGACCCCTGACATAAAGAACCAGCCAAACTTTTCAAAACTGATATAATTTTTAACCTGAACCTCAAGATTCCTGACATAAAGAACCAGCCAAACTTTTCAAAACTGATACAATTTTTAACCCGAACCTCAAGATTCCTGACATAAAGAACCAGCCAAACTTTTCAAAACTGATATAATTTTTAACCTGAACCTCAAGATTCCTGACATAAAGAACCAGCCAAACTTTTCAAAACTGAT